CGTCAACCCTACGATACAAAAGTTCAACAGCTTTCGTGGAAATATGGCCATCACAACTGACATGTACATTGGTCAGCACAGCCGCCATAATCAAGGACCTTCCCATTTGGGTCACAATTTACAATACCACCCCAACAGCATCCCTCAGGGTCTCCACAATCTTTCCAATCCCTCAACTTGTCACATGGCTTTCAACGGGTACTCTGCAGCAACTCGCGTGATGGACGTATGGGCGAGTAATTTTTCCGAAGGCATGCGTCTGGTAAGAAGGCTGGCTCGGAGCGCGAGATACGTAGCTGTCGATACCGAGTTTCCTGGCGTAGTGGCCAAAGTCTTCGGTGAATATGTCAACACATTCGAGCAGGCATATCACAATATCAAAGTAAACATCGACATGCTCCGGCCAATCCAAATCGGTTTCAGTTTCTTTGGTGAAAGAGGCCAATGTGTGGATTTGGTTTCCACCGTTCAGTTTAATTTGAAGTGGAATGTAGACAATGAAACCCATGCCGCCGATTCAATCCAGTTGCTTCAAGACTGTGGAATTGATTTCTACAAACTAAAACGTGATGGAATAGAGCTACTGGAATTCGCTGAGGCTTTTCTTGTAAGTGGTCTAGCTCTGAACGACCAAATTACTTGGATTGGATTCCACAGGTTTGTCTGTGCACCTTTTCTTATTGCAAATATTTAGCGCTTATGATTTCGCATATATGATGAAAATTTGTACAGATTGGCTCCAGATGCCGGAGAACTTCTCTGAATTTCAACATTTGTTGATTTTGTTCTTCCCTCGCATCGTGGATCTTAAGGCGATTATGAATGAACATAAATTCCTTAAGGGTGGTCTTCAGGAACTAGCCGATGCTCTTCATGTACAACGTGTTGGTTACAAACACCAAGCCGGAAGTGATTCCATGCTGACCGGTGAAACATTTTTCCGTTTTCTTGAGGTACGATCTTTTACGAGTTATTTAAATTTCTCATAGGAACATTCTGATGGGAAACTGGATAAGCGTGTAGTCAACCTTGTATACGGATTGAACTATTGTCCAAATGGTTCTACGAATGCGTTTTTTCCTATGAGTGGATGTAGCCTCGGACCAGAACTCAGCAGTTTTTACGTTACCGGATTATCTAATTCTCAGCGGAATAAAACTCACAGTGCTGATCATTCTGGTAGAACGTCCCCTGAAGGCTCCATGAGTGGGCATAAGAGCAGTTGACCGAACCCAACGTCTGACTGCTAAACATTCTCTTGCGTTGCGTTTAAGTCTTGTGTACATAGTGAAGGAGTCGTCTTACAGCTGCATAATGCATTTATTACATCTGCCTGTCGCCAAAAGGTCAGTTCCCCTGTACACTTCCCCCCAGAACGGTGTTCTCGAGTGCTTCGCGTCTTTCTATACCACTATTTGCCCAAACGAGGTGATTTTACTGCAGCGTGAATGGCTTTTATTTGTCTGATTGGCCGGCTTTCTCGCCTTTTTTTATTTCCTGTGTATATTTGGTTTTCCTTCGATATGACTTTTCTTGGGATTTGTGACTTCTTATGGAAACGGATTGCTTGCGGTTGGTGATTTCCCAGGTCTATTCTAACAGCGGCGGTTATACTCTTGAATCGTGCTTTTGCGCCCCATCCAGGCAGCAATCACAAAAATCGCTTGAAGTGTCTTCTGATTTTTCCCAGCTGCATTTCCCTCTTCTTACTTAGCATTTATAATCCACATGTACAATTAAAGTGAACACTAACTCCAACTTTCAGGCAGCATTGAGTGGTTTTGTATAGTGGAGATGCCGGCACCTGGTCTGTGATATCCCTCCTTTCGCAACGGAATTGTAATCGCCCTCTTATCTTTCGACGCACCACTGGAAGTGGAACCGGTCTGACAACAGTGAGGAATCAGAGCTGCCACCTTTCGGGATTATGGCGGATGCTTTTTACCACAAGAACTCATACCCTTCTTTGTACACGGGCTTCGAACGAAGCGTTCGAGTAGGTTTAGTGGTTTTATGTCATGCTGTTGTAAATCAATATCCCGTCTACCCGACCTCTTTCTCATGGTATCAGAACCGCGCCAATCTTTCGCTGCTCTTGGGTACCTGTCCCATTTTGTTCACACTCCTAGCTTTATTTTGTCGTGTTTTGAACTCGTCTGTATATAAAAATACAACGTTTAAATTCCATTTCCTGTCTGCCTTATTTGGGTGTGGGGATGGTTTGTCACAGCGCCTGCACTGCCGTTTGGTGCTAGCTGCTTCCCTTCAGTAGCGCTCCAAGTCTGCATTAGCCATAGGTTAGTCGACAAGTTTTAAGTCGTTTGGGTGTTGGAGTTGTCGTGCAAACTGCCTGGGTGGGGTCCAGTCTTTACGAAAATGACTTGTGTATTGGCAGTGTCAGCCAACTCGGTGTTGTTCAATTCAGAGCGAACTTGCCACCTGGCGTTTAATTTATGTTAGAGGGTCTCTCATTTCGTTGGCGGTGTACCATGGTCACGAAGCTCCACTCTCGTTGTAGGTTCCTAACCTCCGATTGGGTGTCCGCCTCACTCCGACTCGCCAAAATGAGGGCTTAGTTTGTCCACGCGTTCGCGGGTCCAACATAAGAGTAGGGGTTATTTCGGTTATCTTTGAGGGGCCTGCGTCTTTTGAAAATCGTCGCAATGTCCGTTTTGTTATGAACCCAGAAAGCCGCGTGATTTCTCAGCATCAGTTTTGTCGTCTCGATCAGCAGTGATTATCGTTTATAGGGTCTTTCAAAACGTCTGTTTTCGCAGGCATTTTTACATCCTCGTTAGTTAATTTCTTCGAATAAAGTCTAGTGACTACAACTTGGTGTGTTCTGCTGATAGTAGTCTGGCTACGGTGTGTTCATTTGTCGTTCGTCAATTGCCATGATCCCATCCGTTCCGATTGTAATTGTCTTTAAGAAGCGGCTGGTTTGTGAATGAGTCAGCATTAATAACTTTAGTGATTTACGCCTTCTTTTCCTCACCCGATTCCTCAATCAGTATTACACCTGTGTGAACTTTTGCGGTTTTAGTATTCAGCCGGGCCTACAAGCACATAAACTCCCAGATTATAACGTGTCGATCACAGCTAGCATCCCGATGGAATCTTACTGTGTTATGTTTGGTTACGATCGTCAAGGTCGTGTCTAGTTTTTAGTGCACGGCTGCTTTTGATAGTTAAAATTGGAAACGAACTTATTTCATCAGATGTACTTGTTTGCAGTGGCTACATCTGGTGTGTATCATTTGAGCTATCACTCGTCATTCCTGCTTACTTTTGGTGAGGGGATTTGTACCAGAAATCAGCAAGTTACCCTTCCTGAGGCTGACCCCTATCCGGTTTCGGTGTCAAATAGTTCTGGAACAGCAGCGCCACGATAAGCATTCCTGGGTTTTTCCGTGAACTCCTTCCAGGGAGTACCAGTTTTACGCACAGTCGCCCAAAAACCAATGAGTTCCTGGCTCTGTTTGTGTGCTTTGTGGTTCAGTTCAAGTTTATGGGGCGATTTCAGTACTGTGGTTGTGGGTTTGTGAAATAAAGTTTGCTTCCAACAAAAACGAACCTCGCCTTTGTTCGCCTCTTCTGCCGATGGCTTTTAGGGGCATATTTTGGATTCGGAAAAAATGCTCGTTTCTCTTCAACATCCGGTAGAAATTTGTGGAAGAACCTTAGTACCATGTACTTTTATTGGTCTAAAGTGCGACTTGGATTCTGTAAATAAGTTTGCGTCAATTCAAGTACCTACAGACCTAGGAGGTCTGTGCCTGAGGTAGTATCTATGTTGGTCAATCCTTTAGACTCCATTACTAGACATTATCCCAAGTCCATGCTGGTCATCTATTGATTTTTGAGGTCTCAAATAAACCACGATAGTCTGAGTTTACAGCAATGGCCGCCACCGTGTCGCTGTTGTCTTCCCTTGTCAAGGTACCAGCCCTTCCGCCCTCTGCCAGCATGCCGTAGGTGTGCTTTGTTCCGATGTGAGCGGGTGTGTCCGGTGTCGGTGTTGTGCCTTGGTCACGTGCCACGATGCCCGTTTGCACGCAGCGCGTCGTCTACCGGCCTAGCCCACTCCGCAGGCATTGCGTGTCCTCTATCCACGATTAGTCACTTTTATCACGTCTGGAAGTAATTGATCATCCATCCCTTCAGTGTCCAAGTCACGCCTCGTAAAACCTTCATTGGTATTTAATGTGATTGTCCTGCGACGTCCTCTGTACCCTCTCCAGTCGCCTATCCCGCTAACTTACCGATACCTATTCTGGCGAAATGATCACTTTAAGATTAGTTAAATATCCGCACCAAAACCCACTGGTGTTTAATGCAATTTTGTTGTTAAATCACTACAACTTTTTCAACTCTGGTGGTCACATGAACGCACACACACACACACGAGCGCGCGTGCGATAGCTGCTTCAAAACTACCCTCAAACAGGTGATTACAATGTGTTTTAACTTCGCACTGATGCTAATTCCCTTACAGATGTCGTTTTTGTTGCGAAATTCACTTACAGAAACAAAGGACTACTTGACAACGGAATGCTTCTGAGTAAAATCCCTTCCATAGTGATGATGATGATGGTGGTGCGACCTTACTAATCAAAAGGGTAGGTTATGGAGACTTTTGTGAACGGATACTTAACTTTGTGACTGTTGAGTTGTCAGACTACAATAAATTGTGAAGTATAAACGCTCCACCTCCTTCTGACACTATTCGGGTCTTGTTATTTGATCACAAACATCGAGCTACAATAGGTTTGGTAGCGCGACCTGATGCGTTTAACCCTTTAGAGGAATTAACAATGCCGAGGGCAAGCAGGAAATGTGCGTGCGTGATTGAGCGTGACCTAATTTAAGCAGGCAGCTTAGGATGTCTCTTCCTCTTGTGGCGTCTGACCCCCTAGAATCAATAATCCTCAATTAGGGAACACACTCACCACCCAGGACTTGATGTTTCCTCGCAAATATCCCGAATTTTAGGTTGACGAGCTGAACCCTCCTCTCTCATTGACATTGTGTTTTAAATGGGGACACACGGTGTGTGTGTGTGTGTGTATGTATGTATGCAGAATGATTAATTTTACGTTCAAAACGGGGCACAGCGTTTGCTTGTGAGCCAATTCGCGTATCCGCTGTTGGTTTTGATAAAGCCAAAAGTACCGCCGCTATTTAACAGCAGTATTGTGTCACTGTTACACCAAGGTAGAGACTGTACACACACGCACACACACACACCCGTCTGGCTATGCAAATGTGGCCTGAATGCTGGCTGCATGTGATTGTGCGATTGTCTGGGTCTATGGAACTCGATGCAGGTTTGGCCGCAGCACAACCCATTTACACGAATTGTTTCACCGAAGCCGCCACTCCTAGGACGTCGCTGTAATCAGCAAATCCCTTTTTTTATCAGATCTTCACCAGAGGCTCTTCAAATGCCTATCGGTGCTGTCGTGCGTCGTTGCAGGATTTTTAATCGTACCTGAAACAGTCGACTTACCAAACGCGTTCCATCACTCCGAATGACAGCACTTCAGCTGGACCACAGGCGGAAATACACTTTTGAAAAGTCAGCAAACTCTCTTTTGGGAGGGATAACTGAACTAGATAAGCCGAAATCCTCCAGGTTGTTTTCTGTCCGAATTTTCCTCTCTTTTATGCTAGAATTTTAAATACTGGCCTGGGGAATTCGCCCGTTTAGCTCATTGGTAATTGGCCAAAACCTCTCCGACATTTTTACTGTCCGAGTAATTGTACCGCGTGCCTTCCAAGCATCAACCCATTTGTCTAAACAATTTAAAGTGAAAGTCGACCCTTTCGTTCAGCAGTCCAGTGGGAATTAGGGCAAAAGTTTGCATTCCTACAGTCTAAGTTAGTCGTGCCTTTACCCTGTGTGTTACGTGTTTGGGCTTGACTCTTTGAACTACACGTAGATCATCTTTGTTTCAGCTGGCCCTTGCGTAAAACACGATCTCGTGTCGGATCAATTCAGTCCAAATGTTCAAACGACAGTTTTTTTTTCTGGTGATCCCGTGAATGCGGCCTGAAATAGAACGAAGGCAACTGCCTTTTGCCAGTGCTGCACGTGCCCCCAATCTTCACAATGTGACCCACCAAACGCCTTAACCACACCTAGCAGCGCGGTGCGTGGATTTGAAGCACCGATGGACTTCGTCGTAACTGCGCATCTGCAGAGTTGTGTCTTTTGCTCGGTTTC